ATTGGTAACAGCCCAGATTACTCCCCCACCACTGGTGGGTTCTTTCAGACCTACCAGGAATTCACTTTGCCTTATAATATTCAGGGAGCACAGAAGCATGAAATTTGATTTCTTTCTTCTGAAGATGCTGGAGATTATTTTAATTCTAATTTGGTATCGCTAAAAGAAAGCTCTTATTCAGTGGTTTAATATAATGTCTTTTAGTGTCTGTTGCAGCAACAAAATCTCTATCTTTCCTATAAATGTACTAATCTCACCAAAGAATATCATTTGAACAGTAGAATGAAGTGGAATAAAAATATGCAGCAGCAAGCAAATGTCCTTTTCAAACAGAAGCCTGCTCTGAGCTATGTGCACTCTGTTCCATCAGATAAGACAGAGCAACAATTTCAATCTCAGCCCCAATGATCAGTATGAAGAGCAGAAAATGTTCTTCCACCCTTCCCTGAACTCAGTATGAGCAGGTGCACCGTGGAGAGAGGCAGAAGCAAAAGCAGCCAGCAGGGGAGGTGAGATGCATCGGAGAGGGGACAGCAGATAAAGTGGGAAGCACTGGGGACCTGCCTTGGCAGAGAGAGCCAGACACACAGAGAAATGATTCACTGGGTTAAAAACAAACACAAAAGCAGCAGAACATACAGCGGGCAACACATCCAGAAGAGTTACAGATTTATTGCCTGCTTGAAACACATTTCTAGGGGGCTAACAGGCCAAATTATTTCTGCTGGAACTCAACATTAATTAAGAAATACTTCAACTGCATTAGAACATGCAAGAGAAATATCACTATTGCCAGTGAAATGATGAAAAAATTAGGTGAACACTGGTGGCATGGTAAATAAAAGCAGAATCACTCCCTGACTGGTGTCTGGAACTAGAAACACTCTCCCAACAATGATGGAAGATGAAATTACTGAAAAAACACTGCACCTCAAGTACCCCCACAGGACCCCCATGTCTTCCACAGCAGGGTGAGACCACCCCAGGCATGGGGACTAAAGCCAATATTTAATAAAAATCAATTTTAAAGTACAACAGCTTCATTTCCACCTGGCAAGTAACTGCTGTGAGCATATCAGTACTGCCCACAGAAGATTAATCAGTAGTTAAAAACCTACACAATAAAGGATTGTTTGGTTTGGGCTTTTGTCCCCTTAAAATAAGACTTCACTGTTCTTACAGGGAGAACACTTTGGGCTGTAACTGTTTTGCCTCTAGAGAAATTAAAAGAAAGAAGTTAAGAAATGCTTGAGCAAAGCAGACAAAGACAGTATTTTTTGCTCATTTAAAGAAAAATCTTCTTTTAGGACAATTAAACTTTGGAAAAAAGGTTCTTTCAGGAAACACTTCCTATTGCAATATAAACAGAATGTACAATATGTACTACATTCAGAGTAATGGTTTCCCTTCACGAGGAGCAATATTGTCTGTCTTCATCACGACTTCTCAGGTTTTTCTTCTGATTTCTCATTTATCAGGTCTTTAAATCCCAATTTTTCCAGTGGTTCATTAGCCATAAGTTGCCTAAGTAAAAAAGAAGAAAACAACAAAACACATTTTAGAGAACACAGCCTCTCTCTTGGTTAGAGAGCAGCAGCATTTTCTATTTCATTTACTATTATTTACCCTAAACAGATCCAAGGCACCTATACAGAGTGACTGCTGTTTGACAAGACCTCAGAAAATTCAGTTTAAGGAAAGCAACACTCAGCAATTATTTTTCTTCCTTTACAGTGGTTTTCTAATTAAATATGTTGTTTCCCCATTTTAGGTACTGCGTAAGAGTTTAGTCAGAAACTGACCTGACTCCTGGTTATGTTTAATTACCGCATTGCATAAGAGCTTCCCGAAATTCTACCAATGCCATTGACATTTTCAAGAGAATCTGGTTTAGAACAGCCTTTGTGGTGCCCTTAGGCTTTGCTGTAGCGATTTTCAAACTCGTTTTTGATTTGCAGTGTACTTTCCCTCGATACAGGGAAATCTGTAAATTTTTCAAAGTTCCCTGACTCAGCCTCGTACAGGAAGCATTGCAAAGCAATGCATGGATGGAAACATCCCTGGAAAACCAATCACCAACACTTTCTTCACTTGAACTGACATACAAAAGCTTTTAACTTGCCTGCTTGAAACATACTGCCAAGGAGCTAACAGGCCAAATTATTTACACTTGAACTCAGCATTAATTAAGACTCAATTGCGTTACTGTATGCAAGAAAAATACCACTGGCTCTGATAATTCATTGCTACGTTATACACAACGCTTGTAGGCGTCTTGAACACAGCTCTTTCTGAGAAGGCCATGCAGAAGATGCACAAAGAATGGGCTACAAAAAAAGTTTAACTTGTAACCACAGCTGTAAACAAACAAAAAAAGCTTCACAGCGGGCGTAGCGGGAGCTACGAGGTTAGAGATGGTAACACGGAGCATGTTTGCTTTATGGACAGAAAGCGCTGCGTGACCGCGGCTCCGCTCCCCTGGGGCCCGCAGGGCGCGGCCGCCGTCCCGCACTCGCCTGTCCATGCGGCACTCCAGGTAGGCCTTGGCGCTCTGCCGGCAGGCCGCGCTCTCGTAGCCGCTGCGGCGCAGACACTCCATGAAGCGCTCCTTGAAGGCGCTGCACTCCCCTGGAACACACACACAGCGAGGGCCGCGCTAGCGCCGCGCCCGGCCCGGCCCCGGCCCGGCGGGACAGGCCCGGCGGGACAGGCCCGGCGGGACAGGCCCGGCGCTAGGCCGCGCCACCGCACCGAAGTGATCCAGCGGGAACGCGCCCTTGTCCGGCGGCCGCGGCGCGAAGCTCTTGCTGCTGAAGTTCATGGCGGTGGACATGTCGGTGCCGGGGCTGGGGTCGCTCTCTGGAAACTCTCTGAAAACTCTCCGGTCCCTCCCGGTCGCTCCCGGTCCCTCCCGGTCCCTCCCGGTCTCTCCGCCCGTTCCCGCCGCCAGGGGGAGCCGAGCGCAGCGAGCGGTGGGTCACGTGGCCATGGGCGCGCGTTGCTGTGGCAACCGGAGCGCGCCGCTCGTCGCCATGGAGACGGCGCCGGCCGCCATGTTGGGCCCGGCGCGGAGCGGGAGCCGTCCCTGCGCCCGGGGCTCCGGCAGCCTCTGTCGGGAATTAACCGATTGCTCCTCACAAAGCTCGTGCCACTGTCCTCATTCCCCTCCCAGTGCGCCCGGTGTTTTCTGGGTTGTCCCGTGCAGGACTTTGGGGTCCTTGTGGGTCCCTCCCAGCTCAGGATGTTCTGGGATTCTGTGAGGCTGCGGCTCGTTCCTGTGAATGGAGGGCTGTGATGATGGTCCTGGGCTGTTTGTCTGTGGAGGGGCCCGGAAAAAGTCTGTCCCTGGCATTTGGGAAATGGAGGAGGAAAGAGCCAAACTTGGAGCCTGCTGTCTGCTAATCCCTTCACAGGATCCAGCCTCGTCCAATCTTTCCCTTTTCTGTGCAGGGCTGAGGCCAGGCTCCTCCTGCCCTTCTGCCCCAAGAATAAATTCCTCACCTGTCACTGCTGAGCTCTGGCTCCTGACTTAAAAGGCCATTTTCTGTACCCAGGAAGGCAGGATGAACTTCCTTAGAAACCCTGCAGGATTTGGGATGGGCCGTCCCCATTCCGCTCAACCATCAGCCACCCGTGTTTGCCACCCTGTGGTTCCTCATCTCTCATCAATCCTTGTGGTTTAAGCTGTGCACAAACCCTAGGGACAGCTCCGAGTTATTTTGTACCTCCTACAAGCACGCGGGTTCCCATCGTGTGGCATAAATGGTGGGGGACAGCAGTAAAACCAAGAGGGTGTTGGCAGAAGCTGGAGAAATGGTGAACTTCCAGATCCTCAAGATGTACAACAAAGAAAAACACCCCTTTTGCCTACAGGTTTACAGCACAAACTCTGCAGATTCACAATCTCCTTCTGAAAGGAGGATGAGAAATAGCTTTAATTTAACTCACCAAGTGTTAACTGTGGATTACGCTGGCATTTTTTCTTCTTTGCCCATAGCTGCAATTGGTTTAAGACAGTATTTTATCTTTCTTAAGTTGATTTTCTTTTAATTAAATGACTGAGCTAAGCAGAAAGAATTCAAGGCTGGGAAAAAAAAGAAATAAAATAGCTTCAATTTTTAAGGACAGCCATTATGGAAATATTAACTGCAGCTCCATTTAAAGTGCCTTTTGTTTATGCTTTGATTGCTTTCCTATTACAGTATTGAAATTGTAAATGGAAAATTACACCATGTTCTATTACATAAGCAACTGGTTTGCACAGCTTGAAATATAAGGCTTTATAATTAGGTTTTCAGGGCTATGAACAATAGATGGGTTTTATTATACAGTAAATAGCACTTTTCCACTTGACTTCGTTATAACACTTAATGGTAAAAGGGAGCTACTCCTCTTTCATAAATACATGCAGCAAACTGTCTCCCAGATTTCAGACAACCAAGCAGCAGGGAAGTAACTTTGGTTTATCTGAACATGTTTAACTGGCGTGTCAAGGCCCTATATTTTAGCAGACTGCCCAAATTACATTCCTTCCTTTCTGTCACAGTGGCCGACTCGCTGATTTCCCGTGCAGTGAAGGAAGAAGTCAAAGGAAAAAGATGTGCATGGATCCCTCAGTGGAATTACTCCCAGGCAGACACCAGCAACTCTTTCCAGTTCTGTTTAACACCTTTACCACCGATCTGGGTGATGGGGTTGGGTGCACCCTCAGTGAGGTTGTAGATGACACCCAGCTGGGTGTCAGTGTGGATGTCAGGAAAATTCACTTCCCCAAGCATTGCCACGGGCTGTCCAGGGCACTGGTGGAGCCCCCATCCCTGGAGGTATGTAAAAGCCATGTAGATGTGGCACTTGGGGAAATTATTTTAGTGGTGGCCTTGGCAGCACTGGGGGAACAGTTGGGCTCAATGATCTTAAAGGTTGTTTCCAATCTAAATCATTCTATGATTCTCTGCAAGGGCTACATCAGCTTGGTTTATTTTATTATATAATTTTTTTTAGACTATTCATTAACTCAGGGTTTTTCTTTGGAGTCTTAAATGTTGTAGTTGCTCAAATTCAGGTCAGGTATAGTAGCAGGTGTTTTGTTATGATTACTTAATGTTTTTATCGCAAATGCCAGTTGTACCTTCTAGAATTTCCTTTAAAGGTACAGGTTCTCATAGAATCTTCAGTACACGTGCTTCAGCAACGTAGGATAAATTTTTCCCAAGGAGATCAAATAAAACCCACATTAGATAATCATTGTGAAGGAAAAAAACACTCATTTGTGGATTAAACCAACCAGTTCCAAAAGGACTCAACAAAAGCAGAGCCAAAAAGAGCAGTGCCACAAAAAAAGTATTAAATGCTTTTCACATATTTTCTTTCAAAGGAGCAAGAGACTTTGCATCAGGGAAATCTGAAATAGCTTCTTCAGCAAAAGGGTGCCCATTGTACAAAAGAGATCAGATAATTCGTAGTGTTTTACAGTCTCTCTAGTATGGAGTCCTGAGCCCTTGCCAAAAATTGGAATGCTCGAATTAGAAGACTTCCCAAACTAAAGAAAATCTTAGCTCTTCCCCTTTCAAGTTACACAGCTTGATAGACTGAAAAAGAAATAAAAATCCTTTGCTTGAATCAGACCTTTCATCATTAATTATGGACTGAAGTAACACTAAAAATTGTTCTTTTCTAATATTGTCAGGTAGTGCTGAAAACTTATTCCACTACTGGTGTTTATCCATCAGCTGGACAAACATCGCCTCGGAAGGAGTTATTACACACTCACCAGTGCGTTTTGGAAGCACCAAATTGAGTAATACTTCAGAGAAGAACCTTTATTCATTTTATGGGCAGGGAAATGTCCGTGACTTCCATTAGTTTCCCTCTCTCACCACGCTGCCTCTTTTAAGAGCCTGCAGACTCAAATTATCAGGTAGTTAATTGGAAAATAATTTATTGACAAGCCATGAAAGGCTCGGAGTAAAGCACTAGGGGATTTTGTAGCTTGACTTGGGATAGCTGTAGGAAATTAATGAGCTGAACAAGACCAAGCACATTCAGATGCTGGAATTTGTGCCCTTGAGACTGCTGTTCCCAGCGCAGGCAGAGAACACACCTCAGAGAAACATCCTTCCAGGATCACTCATTCCTCTGCCTCACCTTCGGGAGCCGAGCACGCCGCCAGCTCTTACATAAGGCCTCTTGCTCCATCACTGCCACAGGCTGTTGTAAACCATTTTTCTCCCTCTTAATTCAGGTTCCTAGACAAGCAAAAATGCAGAATATTGCCAGAATAGTCTGGGGAATGGGGATTTCTGTTGTGGATGATTAATGAAATATTATTGTTTTGCACTTACAGGGAAATCGTAGTTTCATGCCAATAAGGTCAGGGCCTTAATATGTTATCTGCTCTATAAAGATGTACAGATTGATAGCTCATTTTCTGTTATTACTGAGCCAAAGCCTCATCAGTTTAGAGAGGAACATTGAGAAATAGCAACACTGCATTGAGAGGTGAAACAAACCTTCATCTTGAATTGCATATTGCAATTCTGGTACATCTAAATCCACATCTCCACCTGCATCAAGAGAGGGGCCAAAGAGGAAGATGCTGGGACCCTGCTTCTGTAAATCTAAGAACCATGATCTGTGTAGAACTAATCACCCTTCATGATATGCCTCAAATTTCTTTTGGATTAACACAATTTCTGCAATATGTTGTTGAGAGAGACAGAAGCCAGAGAACCAGAACAAAAAATCCTTGGAGCTGTGTTGAGGGATTTGATTTATCAGATGTATTTTGAAAATCATCTTTTTATAACCCAACCTACTCAATACTCACCTCCCAGTTCAGGCTGCCTTGACTTGTTGGTGTAAATGTAGATCTGGAAGATCATGGTTCTAGCTACAGTTACAAGGGATTTTACTGCAAATATTTGTGTAGATATGCATATTAAAAAGTACATTGCCAGCACCAAAGCCAAGGATCTCCCATGTGTTTTCTCACTGAGTGAGACTCATGGAGGAATGGCATCTATTCAGTCCAAGAAGGAGTCCTTTAAAAGCAACAAAGTTCCCTAGAATGGTAAATGCTTAACATGTGTGTGAAATACTCTTACCTTAGGCTCTGCACAGGCACAATGCACTAACCTCATGCACATATTTTTTTATTTTCTTCTCCCAGTGACCAGACTCATCACATATAATCTTTCAATTCAGAACATGTGAAAAAAAACCCCAAAACAACAACCCAGGAATCTATTCTTTTTTTAAGTTGCCATGAAATAAAGATTTTAAAAAATATTTTTTCAGGAGTCTTTCTTCCCAGAGTAGATTTGCAACCCACGCTGATTTGACAGATGAATGAAAAGAAATTAAGGAATCATTTGTATAAAAATGAGCAAAGTGAACACTTGAGATACTGATCGCTACCCTGTAGTGATCCTGTAGAAATACAGATTTGCAGGGTGGGAAGAAGTGGGTGTAATCCAATAAAACAATGCAATAATGATGAAAAATTGAAATACGTCAGAGTCGGAAAGCTTTTGATTTCTTTTTCCACTGGCATTTGTCAAGGCAAGCAAAATCCATTAGCAAGGAGCAGCCTGAGTTTTAACACATCTGGGTCTTTAAAAATGTTAATGTTTAATAGGGTGTGCTCAGGCTTTATGTGTCCCTGATAACAATGCATGGGCTGATAGGCATCTCCAGAGGCTGTAAAGCAGTGGCAGAGCCTTGCAAGGCACACAAGCACTTGGTGTTCACTCTTGTGGTTTATGATGTTATCAGCAGTCATTGACTGAATTATGGCCTTATAACAACCCTTTCCCTGCATTATCCTACAGTTACTGTGGCACTGCTAAGCTGTGTCCCATTAGAAGGCGATGTGACCTTCTCCAGATGAGCACACAGGAGTTACTGTGGTGTTTGAGGGCAGGCTCATTGTCCAGGAGGAACTGATGAGTCCCCCTGAGCTGTGCCCACAAAATCTGCTCACCTGAAGGTGGTTCTGCCTTGAGCTGGTAGAAAGACAAAGATGTGAGCTGGGAGCAATGTTGTCTCCCAGTCCTGTGTGGGATCCTGTGTGGGATCCTCACCTGCAAGCCTGTGGCTGTAGGCTGTGTCCAGGATTGCACCCTGGAAGCCAAAGGATGTGAGGAAGAAATGGGGGTGAGGGCATCGCATTGGCTCTATTTTAAAACTGCAAAGATTCCTCATCCCTCATTTCTCACAGTCCAACAGGCTGCAGGTCCATGGGCTCACTGCTTGAGAAAGGGTCTCACCCTATATTGTCATCACAGATTGAAGCCCTAGGGAGGGTGATTTTTCTTGCTGTGGCAGCAGCCAGCTCTACTCCAACAGAGCTCTATGTAAACAGCAACAGATTTCCTCCTTTGGTACCCAGCTGGCCCCATGCAGGGCTTTTTCCCTCCCTCTGACTGCATATTATAAAGTCTCAGGAGTCCCAGTAGTCACACCATTTGCTCAGAGAAGAATCTGGCAGAACAGGATATTCTTGGAAATGTCTGTGAGAGGAAGGTGCAGGCCAAGACCTCTCAGCTGTGCAGCAAATCTTGAGATGGATGTGACCATCATCCATTGCCCTCCTTTCTTTGCCCACCCTGCCTGATCCTCTTCTGCACAGGAAAGTTCCCCCTTGTGAAAAACTCCACTCCTGATAACAAGCCTTGGAGAGCAGGCAGACATGCAGACAGCTTTTTCATGTCAATCTTGTTAGAGTTTATTGATTCCCCTTGCCTTTGGCTAATGTACTTTTATTATTATTAATAAGTAATCATAATTTTTCCATCAGTGTAGCCTGTACCTGGGAGCCTTGGAGAATTCTAGCAAAAGAATTATTAAACTAAAGATTTTTAAAGGGTTGAACAGCAGCAGAGCCCAGTAATCTGCCAGAATCTGCAACTAGGGAGTAAAATATTCACACTTGAGAATATGGGATAGAGCATCAAATCAGCTCCTTCCCCCAGAGCCACCATTTCTACAAGTGGCTTCCAGTTCTTGGTCACTTCTGCTTTGTTGTCACCCGCCAAGGATGCAGAGGGTGGCTCTTGGAGCTGTCACCTGGGCACGTGGGCTCTTGCAGGACCCTGCCCTGGCTTGGGACGTGACTCAGTACCTGCAGGGCCAGAACTGCTGCCATGTGCTCCTCCTGCCTGGCACCTCCTCCATCCTCTGCCTGGCCAGCTGCAGAGTCTGATCTGGTTCCTCCCAAGTTACAAGGATTCAGCATCTCTTTCCCAATCTAGGCAGGATTGCCTGCAGGGGATGGTTTCTCCTAGAGGATGGCATGCAGCTGTTCATAAACAGAGAGAGTCATCACCAGTTGCTGAGGCAGGCATGGCCATCCAGGCACATGGTTCTCTGGGCCCTAAACTGCCTAATTGTGACTGACATGGTGCCAGGGGCATTTTGGGATTGCAGGTAGGGGGTTTTTGGGACAAAGACAATAACAATGCTAGCAATACAAAACAGTGATTTGCTCTAGGAGGTGATTTTACTGGGGCGGCAGGAAAGCAAAAAGAATCAGAGCTGTCACCTGAAAATAGATCTGCTCCCATCAGCAATCCTGAATGAGCATATCTTCATGTAAGCACCATTGCAGCTTCTCCGTGGCAGTCTCATCCTCCCCGAGGACTTGCTTGCCAGGTGCACCCTGGGCCATGCATTGTTGTGGGCTTGCCCTCCTGTGTCCTGCTTCCTCCATTGCATCACCAGAGGTCCAGCTGAGTCCTGGGACCAGGCACAGTGACAGCAGTCCAGCATGGCCCCTGTCCTTGAGTTCTGACCCTGAAATCACGTAGAGAACATGCCCATAACACAGATATTCACTGGGTAACAGTGTTGTAGATGAAATAAGAGCTCCGGATTACGATAATCCGTGGTTCAGAATAAAAAAGGGTGTTTCATCTGGCAGGAAAATGGAGTACATCTGGTCGGAGTGGACATAAACAAGTCTGCAGAGCCCTTTTCTCTGTGTAAAGCCACTTCCCCAGAAGGTGTGTTCAGGCAATGACAGAAGGGCTATAAAGGGACCCCAAGATGCTCATACCCTCAGCTGGCTTTGGGCATGGCCGTGCAGAGTTTCCTGCAGTACGTGGGCTCCAGCCCGCTGCTCTGTTTGGCAGCAGGGCTGTTTGCTCTCCTTTACTTTCTCTCCAGCTCCAAGAAGTCGGTTTGCAATTTGCCTCCTGGGCCACGACCTCTTCCTCTGATTGGGAACTTGAACGTGGTGGACCTGAAAAAGCCATTCCAGTCACTGACAGAGGTAAGGGCTGAGCGAGCAGGCAGGGGGCAAATGTGCAATTCCTGAAATGAGAAATACAGCTGGGAAAATAGAGATGTGGTTGTGTTTGCTTTGTGTGGAGTGCAGCAATGAGAAATGTGGCACACAGGCAGGCTGGCAGAATGACTTTACCTTCAGAGATGCACACACACACTCTTGTATTTACATATATAAATATAATACACACACTCCTTTCTTTATACACACTCAATTGTGGACCACCCACCCAATCTGCTCCAAACTATTGCGTGTTTTGAGCCCTTCAGAAGCTGCTGGTAAAAGACTTGAGTTGGGCCAGGCTGCTGCCATCAGATGTCTCACTGCCACCAGACCTTTAGGAAGGGTGGGTGGATGGAAGTGATGAAGTAAGGGGGTTGTCCTATGCACACTTTTTTTCCCCAAAACTAATTATATTTCTGCAATGCAAAGCACAACTCCCCAGCCCTCCCTGTGCACACACTGCCCAGGGTGGTTGAGGACTCAATGCATGATTTTATATATCTAGCTAAACAACTTGCTTTTTCTTACACAGCTCCATGGACAGTTATATTTCTACAAGAGAGAGAGGGAAATAAAACCCTAAACAACTTAAATATTAAAAAGCTAGGGGCAATGTTTGTTTCAGAAAGTGTCTGCTGTGTTCCCACAGGGACCTGAGGACAATTCAGTGGGAATTCAGATTTTATCTGGTTGCTGTAGAGACAGTTGAGGTGCTGTGAGGGACCTGTCACATGCCCTGTATGTGTGCTGCTTACTGGACACTATGGTGGGGGAAAGCTGGTCCCCAGAGAACTCCTTCAGCCACCTGAACATCTGCAGTGAGAGGGCAGTGCAGACACTGAAATCCTCCTTTTAGCTGTAGAAGAAAGGGCATCCTGCATTGCCAAAGCACAGAATTCCAACAGCAGGCACACAGTGCTCATCTGCCTTGATTTATGGGGCAGAGGATTGTGTAGAGATCAGTTCTGATGGGCTTCTGGTCCTCAGCTCCTGGATAGGTTTGAGGGTGTCAGTATGAAACAATTTATGAACTATTTTTGGCAATACTGGGGGATTTTATGATACAAATGTCATGTGACAACACCAGACTAATTTCCTATAATCTACCAAGAAGCTTTATTTGGGCTTTCAGGCCTGCCACATCCAATACTTGTGCTGCTGAGTAAAAGCAGAGCAGCTGCCAAGAAGCACTAATGCGAGGAGATGGCCAAAGGAAGGCTCGGAGGCAGCTGTGATTCCCTGCCCCTGGCTCTGCCACACTCTGTGAGCGGCCAGGGATGAAAGAACCAGTACTAATGTTATCTCCCAGGCCGTCAGACCACTGCTTGATGAAAACAAATTCAATTTGTCTGGTGTAATAACAGGAGCTGCTTCTAATCTGAAATTCAATTTGTGGAATCTATCTAATGCATAGAAAATGGTAACCCAGGCACATCAGAAACAAGGAGACATTTGGAGTGGATGGCTTGCAGTGTGTTCAAACGAGGCCTAAAATACCAAGTGAATGATTAGCTTGTCAAAGCTACCTTTCAGGGTAAAAGATGATTCATATTTAATTTGTGATGAAAGCCTAACACTCCTGTGACATTATCTACCAGAATATGCTTCCTAGTCAGATTCAAGTTTCTAGTGGCCAGCAAATAATTGCATAATGACTGCAACACTACCCACCTTGCCATAATTAGAGACAAGTGCTGTCCTGAAAGAAAGAGTTATTGTCTGGCTTTGTTTTTGCAGTGTTTGTGGCTTCAGCCTCAAAGGTGTGTGCACGTCTGCTTGCCTCAGGTCACCAGCACTACAATAAACAGGCCTGCCTGCTACAGCATTCTCTGCCCAGCCTCCCAAGGTGGTATTGCTGGCCTGTTACTGCAGAACACCACAGGAATGCAGTGGCTTTATTGACTCCCCTGATAGGAGCAGTGATAGCAGACACCTTGTTGTGCAAACAGGGTGCAAGCAGAGATGCTGGCAATCATAGCTACTGCTCCCTACTTGAATTACAGCAGCACCTGGAGACATCAGGCAGGGCTGGGAGGCTCCTTTTGGTCTAGAAACCACCTAGAGTGGCTAGTACTAGTGTTTGAGTCCAGATCTGGCTTTGAATGAACATATTTATTCACCTTGGCAGCTCTCCAAGATATATGGCAGCGTCTTCACGGTGCATTTTGGACCCAGGAGGGTCGTGGTACTGGCTGGATATGAAACCATCAAGGATGCCCTTTTAAATCATGCTGAAGAGTTTGGAGAGAGAGCAGAAATACCCATATTTAGGAAAATGACACAAGGAAATGGTAATTGACCTTCTGCTTGGATAAGTTTTGTCTCTGTTAATTACGTTCTCACAGCAGAGAGTACTGTCCTTTTCCAGATCGCTTTCTGTGATCACAGGAGGCACCAGTGTGTAAGAATGTTTATGAACCACAGGTGCCATAAGGATGTTACACATTTATTTTAGGCATAGTATTCAGCCATGGAGAGCTGTGGAAAACTCTGAGAAGATTTACCTTGTCCACACTGCGAGATTTTGGAATGGGAAAGAGAACCCTTGAGATCCGAATCCTGGAGGAAGTAAACTCCCTTATCAAATATTTTGAATCCTATCATGGTGAGTGTCAAGTCTTTCATCCAGAGGCAGAGAACAGTCTAGCAGAACAATAAAGATTAATGAAAGTTTAACTCTGAGCAAATGGTATCTCGTGGTTAAAGTTCAGCATACAGTGCAGTAGGTTATTGAACCTGAAACAAAATTCCCTGCTATGAATTCTGGGTGGGGAATGAGTTTTCTTTGGGAGCTCAGGGCTACATTTCCATAGGAAACCAGACTGAAACAAGCATAGTCATTTTGTCATTTGTTTTCATTGCTTGAAATACAGGGAAACCATTTGATACAAAAATGATACTCAACAATGCTGTATCCAATGTCATCTGCTCTATATTGTTTGGAGAGAGGTTTGAATATGATGATCCAGTATTTCTAACTTTGCTGAAGCTGATAAATCAAAATACTAAGTTGTTGGGCTCCCCTATGGTGCAGGTAAGAGCTTAATTTTATATTTTAGCTGTTAGTTTTTTGGGGGGATACCCAGTTTCCAGCATTTGCTCTCCTGGCCTCCCACATACTTCTTCTTGAGAACAAGAACATTGTCAGCCAGTCAGCCTGTACAGAACACATCTATGTTTCTGTATCTGCAGTGCACAGATTCCCAGGCTCCTGCACTTACTCTGTGAAACTTATTAGTAAAAGAAAAAAAAAAAAACAAGGTCTCCATGAAAGGAACAAATTTATCCTCTTTGAAGACCAGAAGCACAGTCCCAAACCTGCCTCTTTGGATTACAGAAAGAACATTCTATTTCTGCAGGAATTCAGAGCTCCTTAGACTGTAGAAGGAGGAGAATTACAGCCTCAAATGTCAGGGCATAGGACAAGGGACCAGCAGTGTGATTTGAGATACCAGTATATGTTCCAAAATACCAATTAACAGTAAAACTTCTCTTGCTCCACAGTTATATAACTTCTACCCATCCCTTGGATTTCTGTCTGGGGCTTCCAAGACTGTGCTACGAAATATCCTTGAATTGAATGCTTTTCTCCAGAAGCTCTTCCAGGAACACAAAGAGGAGCTAAATGAAAATGACTTAACAGGCTTTGTCGATGCCTTTCTGGTAAAGCAAAAGCAGGTACTTTAAAACTAAGTCCCAGTGTCTTTCTGTTCCCTTCCCGTAGCTCTGACTTAGCCAGCCCTTAGAACTGGCCATCTGTCAGGGCCTGGCAATGAGTGGAAGCAGAAGAACTGCAGTGAGCAGAATTTATCAAAGCTCACACATTGAGCTGTGCTGGAGTTGCTCATGGCCCCACTGGAACTGCTGGTTAAAGGGATTTAGTTGTCGAGACATCCCATGAGGGGAAATAAGTTCTCACTCAGCACACATAAGGAGGAGATCATCCCAAACCTTCCTGCAAGAATGGTACAGTGATAAACTGTGTTGCAGTAAATAAATTCCAATTTATTGGAATTATTTCTAATACCTAGACTTGAGAGCAGAAAAATTCCACACAGCATAGACCCTAATGCTGAAAGACTAAATATTCAGTTTTAGTCACATAAAAAGTCACAGAAGGCTAAAATGCAGATAAAAATGGCGGCAACACAGTCACATATGGGTATCACTTGCTGTATTACTCCCATGTTTTTAAGGAGTCAAAGAAACCACACACTGCATTCAGCAATGGAAACCTGATGTTTTCAACCCTGGACCTCTTTGCTGCTGGGACTGAGACTACATCCACAACTGTTCGCTGGGGGCTGCTTCTGATGATGAAATACCCAGAAATTCAGAGTAAGGAGGACAAGTCTCTTGTACAATTTATTGTTGCATGCTTAAGGCTTTGGTTGTGGAAGGGAGTTCAACTCATTCAGTGTTGCCTAGAGTAATTATTCTGAGTGCTCTGAGAGAGATAACAAGCGTTGACTTTACAAAGGCATTTGATTCAGCTGGGTTGCAATAAACCAGCCCAGCCAAGTGGGAGAGGCTCAGGGGCAGCCTACAGACACAGGAAAGCTCCCTCCTGGTTATTCACCTGCAGGCTATGGGCTTACGTCACTAAAGGTCTCCTCAGGAGCTGATTCTGATCTGGTTTCTGTTGAAGGTTATGGGGCAACAAAGGTGTGTAATGAGAGTCAGGCATGAGATGGACTGTAGTGACTCCATTCAAGCTGCCCTAGCTCAACAACAAACCTGAAAGAACCACACCATGCCCTGACTTACCCACTTCTGCCCTTTCCAGATATTTACAGTTCTCCCTTTTCTTAATCTCTGCCAAACTGGTAGCCATTTCAGTCGCAAGATGAGATTGTTATCAGCTTCTTAATCCTTTCCTCCCTCCAAGGAAAGATTCAGGAAGAAATGAACCATGTCATTGAACCGGGAGAGCTGCCTAAGTTGGAGGACAGGAAAAGAATGCCGTACACAGAAGCAGTAATACATGAAATACAAAGGTTTGCCAATATTGTCCCCATGGGCGTATCACGATCGACTCCCAGCGATGTGAATTTCCGAGGCTACGTGATTCCTAAGGTGAGCTCTGAGGCTGGCAGCTTGTGCTGCACAGATTCCTCACAGCTTTCTTAAAAGCAGAAGAAACACATAAATAACTAAAGACATGGTGATGCATGGTTTAATCAGTGCTGTGACCCTTTGTCTTAGATCCAGGATAATTACTATAAACATACAATGGATTGTGGTCTGGTACAGTTGTTTGAATCATTATTAACCAGAGATTTAATTAAATCACACTGGTTTTAATCTTTTATGTCAAGTGTGGAACCTCTACCCCAGCACCTTTGTTGAAAGATCTGACTCTGTAAGAAAAGAATGTCTTGTGGTCCAAAAAATAAAACAGAAGTTACTGAAAACAGACAGAGCCACGATGGGACAGAGAAACATTCCCCAGTTTCTATCTGTCATGTTTTATTTGCTTCTTCACATTGGAAAAATAACGCAGTTTGGCTCAAGCAAGGGAGTGATCTCCTCTTCCATGAGTTTCTTTGACCCCTTTCAGGGTACTGAGATTATTCCACTGCTGACCTCTGCTCTGAATGACGAGTTACACTGGAAAACCCCGGATCAGTTCAACCCTTCCAATTTCCTTGATGCCAATGGGAACTTCATCAGGAGAGAAGCATTTATTCCATTCTCCATAGGTAAGAGGGCTGTGGGTGTGAAGCTAATGGCAGTTCCCCCTGATTTCAGGATGAAATCAAGTGTGGAAGCCAGGGGACACAGAACAGAGGGTAAAGGATTTCCGGTCATTTCTCCTATCCACCACTGCTGTAGGTAACCACCTCTTCTTTGGGAGAGATGGGAGACAGGGATTTACTCACAGCCACTGAACAATTTCATATATCTACAGATTTCTGTGTAGTTTGAGACCAAATCAGTAGCACCTCAAATATACAAAGAGAAGGAAGGGAAAACTTCCTACCTCAGCAGCCTGCTCTTCCAGACTGTACCTCCTGTTTAGAAGGTCTCAGACATCAACACTAACAGTTACAGTGCTGATCATTAACTTCTCCCCTGGTTGTTTTCAGGGAGAAGGGCTTGCCTTGGTGAAGGACTGGCCAAAATGGAGCTGTTCCTCTTCTTTTCGGGCTTGCTCCGCAAATTTGTTTTCCAGCCTCCCCCAGGAGTGGAGAAGTCAGACCTGGATCTCACTGCTGATGTCGGCTTTACCTTGACTCCCATGCCTCACCTGGTTTGTGCTGTGCCCTGTGAATGATCAAACAGCACAGCATTAGAGTAGTGAACACTTCAAGCTTTAAAGCAAATCTAGCTACAGTGGGGAAAAGCTGTCCCTGAGCTTTAGGGGAAGGAAGACACTAAGCACAGTTATTTTCTCTCATTCATGACATCCTCTCCAACAGCTCTTGCACTGTCTGTATAATGCAAACCCTTCAGAGAACTCTGAGTTCTGCTCTCAGAAAATGTGATTTATTCCTGGAACAGCACATCAGAGATGCTGTTTTCAGGACAGTTTGAAAAAGTGAAATGCCTTCAGACCTCCTCTGTAGATGTAAGCCATCAGAGCTCTTCCCTGGTAGTGTGTGGGGAATTTCTCAGCCCAAAGTCCAAGCCCTATAGCACAGCTCATTATAAGTGGCCCAGCTGGAGACAAGAGACACTCAAAGGATCTGGAAATCTCCTCAGGATGGTTGTTCAGCTCAGCCTCAGACTGAGCTTCCATTGTGCGATACAGCCTGCCTTATCTTTATTACAGAGTCCCAGACACAAGGGTGTAACACGGGCTGATGCCAAGACCCAGGCACAGGGCAGTTATCAGGAAACATCTAAGTGCTTTGGGAAATGGGTTCTTTCCAACTCACACCAGGCACTTCATGCTGAACAGCCCATTTATGATGGGGCCAATTGAGCAGCTTTCCGCTTCTGCTAAGAAAGGCATTTCTACCACACCCTCACCTCTCCTGGCTTCATGATGGCTCTGGCACTTGTCCAGTCCCTTATTGGGGCATCTCAGATCCCTAACCTGGCAGAAAATGAGCAGCCATGGCACGGGAAGTTTCTGAACGTGTGGCTGAAGCGATACAAGCCTGCAGCAGTGTGAGGGCAGTGGAGCTGGGGCTGGGCAGGGACTGCCACACTCCAGCAGAGAGCTGGGAGAGGCTCAGCCCCCTGCTCCACTTGCACCTCAGCTCTGTAGATCTGTAGATCTTCTCTACCCTTCACAGAGAGAAAGGATCCTTCAGGGGATGAATCAGCTGCCATAAGGTTGTCATTTCTCACTCTCTGCACTGACTGCAGCGTGAACCATCATCCACAGGCTCCTAATTCCAAACTTACCAGGTGTGTTGTGATGAATAGGGACAGTATTGTCCATTCAACTGAAAATGGAGCAGTTATGGCAAACCCTACAACATAAAACTAAAGTTACTGTCACTTAAAGCTGAGCTGTGTGCAAATGGAAGGAAAGAAAGGAGAAAGAATACGAAGGGATGAAAAGGTATGACAGCCTCTGGTGAAGACACTGACTCTCCTCTCTAGCTTTAGTTCACACGACTAAAGGCAGCACTCTCACAGTGATTCTGCACTTTTTACTTGTGCTGGTGTTGGCCTTGGTCAGGGGCTGTGGCACAGGCCCAGCTCCAGCTCCTGGGCCCAGCTCAGGGAGTGCTCAGCAAGCTCTGCAACAAGGAAGCCTCTGCTGCTGGGCCTGCTTGAGTTTGTTTTGCTGTTGCTCTATTTGCAGTCTAACTACTACAAGCCTGACCTTATCACCTACTTTATCATTAAATATTTTGTTCTGTTGCTGTTGATCTATCTGGTGTGACAGTATGCAGTTGATTTCAGGTCAAACTGATAAAGCTGGGCTGCACCACCTTCAATACCTCCTCATGAGAGAGGTGAGCACAGGGATCTGTGGGCAGCTGCAGCCAGGACATGTTCAGCAGCACAAAGAGTGACAATACTGACGGCCACAACCACCTCAAAGGAAACAGCTGGATTTCTAGCTCCAGAAAATCACAGCTGCTGTGTGAGGCAGGACGTGGCTCCGCAAGGCTCTCTGTGTAGCCCCTTCCAGTGTCTCTTGCCCTTGCTTACAAGGAACCCATCACAGTAAAAACCAGCAGGAGTTATCCGAGGCTGCAGTCTGGGATGCACTGCTGGTCAAGAATGGGGCTGGCAGGGGAAGTGCAGGGATTTTGGGGCATTTAATTTAAAGGGCTGGTGTTTTAGTGGCCCAGGCTGGCTGACTGCAGTGGTGTGGTGGCCTTTAGGTGGCCGATACGCAACGTTCCACATCCTCACCAGTACCACCAGTGACAAGCGGTGGCAGAATGCCATAGGGGCACGAGGGATGGAGGACAACCAGACCATGAGCACCTTGGGGTCTGACTGCCCCAGGAATGCACCCAGAGCAGTGTCAGTGCCGGGCAGGTGTTTTGTGCTCAGCTCTGTGTGCTCAGGCAGGGCAGCACGTAGCAGCACGGCTCCGGAGCGAAACATGAAACATGTACCAGACACCTCAGTGAGACAGGAATTTCTTGTCATCGCAAGACTTTTACTTACCTTTGTCATTTTAATGCATTGCACTCAGAGCCTGGCTTGAAAAAAAAACCACAATACACTCCCCCTGGCTTTTCAGAGATAATTTAAGTCTCTTTCTGAAAGGCCATTTTATGAGTTCAGAGGCTCCCAGGGCAAGTGAAATACCAGGAGAGCAGAAGCGACACGTAACTTTTGCCCTACAGGGTGCTGCTGGTCCAAGAAAACCCTGCAGGAACAAACATTTTGCCCAGGCACAGAGCATGTGCCATTGCAAGTTCTCATTGCAGTGCCCACGTTCTGCACCCTGTGCCAGCCACGTTCCTTCCTGCCTTACAGCCCCTCTGCCTCTCAGCTCATGGAGCAGGCAGGGCTGAGTCATCCTAGGCATGCTCTGGGGGAAACCGTTGCCTCCAGCCCATTTCTTGGAAACTAATAAAAAAATAAATCTCAGAAATGTTGCGACACACTTGCTGCTCCCGCTTCTGGGTGGCTGTTGTGCTGCAACATCTCCACACCACACAGGCAGCTCCAGTGAGTGCCCAGCAGCCGCTCGCTCTGGGACCCTGCTCCCCATGCCCCCCTCAGATCAGATCCACCTCCTTCCTTGCCTCCTTTGCACTTACAAGGCTGAGGACCCGTATTTGCTGAATAATGGCCTTTATATGATCTAACCTTTGGACAAATGTACCTTTAGCCTTGTGCTTCCTCATCATGTAAGACAGCCCTTTCTTCCCTGAATGATCATATTCCTTTGGCTGGGTATGCCAAACTTCCTCCTCAAAACCACTGTTCAACCAGGTAACCTCAAATGTTTTCTAAAAGGCTTATGCCTTGATAAGGGATGCAAGAACCAGGTGTTTAGTATCTTTGACTTAAAATCATTCCATTCTCCTGTCTGGTTTCCCTTCTCGAGCCTGCCAGGTCAGCTGGCTTCATTAACTTAGTTAACTTCTTCCCTATATCCTTTAGAAGCTGCTTTTGCAAAATGAAATCCTCCCAGAAGTTTCAAATCTAATTTTGTCTTTCCATTGCACTCATGAATCCAGTCATGATCACTTGATCCAAGCTAATTTTCTGTGGCTAGCTATTACATGTCTCCTACCTCAGACACAAAGTCTGAAATCACATCCCTCCCGGGCAATTCAGAGCTGACTTTATGAAGAAGTTTATGGGCTACAACCCCCCAGGGATTGTTGGGCTTTACCATTATTAACAACCTTTGATCTCCACTTGACATCAAGAAAGCCAAAGTCTTCTGTTAAAATACTAATTTTTTTTTTTTCTAGTAACATGGAGATCTGAAATCCTACTTAAGCCTGAATCTGAAGGTTCTAATAGGATTCCAAGAGCCTTTTTATTTCCCTGTGTCAGCAGAGTGCTTGGAGGGTCATAGTACTGCTAATGAAGGACCTTGAGGTCTCAGGGAGGAGCAGGTTATAGAGGAATGCCAAGCACCTTTTCCCATGTATATGTTCTTGCACACACATGCATGGGTTTGTAATTTGAAACTCTCTTTACTTCTGGACAGGCTTTGCAAACTGCTTAGACCACATTCTCTGAGGTGTTTAAAGAGGGTGGAGTATGCAGTATTTATTTAGGTACTCTACAAACCTTAATAAGAATTGAGTGCTTGTAGCAATTGCAGAGAGCAAACAGAGAGCCAGCTGGCAGAAACTGAACAGTGCCACTGCATTTTTATTGCTTCTAACCCCAAAACCAGATTATTACTAAAAAAATGTCTTTTTTAATTTCATTTCTCTCTGATCCTGCATTAGTTTGTCTGCTGTGTGCAGCAGTATTATTAGCTGTAGCCTATTTTTCAACTGGCTATAAAAATTCAGCTTTTAAATTACCTCCTGGTCCAACTCCTCTTCCGATCATTGGTAACCTGCACTTGGTGGATCTTAGAAGGCAAGATAAATCACTAATGAAGGTAGGACAAAAAAACCCTAACCCAGACCCTCACAGATTTTAAAGCTTCCTGGGATGTTTCAGTGAGAACTTTTTGCCTTTTTTAATTCAAACTAAATTGTAAAGGTGTGAAAATTGCTTTATGATATCTTTCTGGGTTTCTTCTAGTCAATGTCTGTGTTGATGCAATGTAATTTAGGAGCAATCAACCATTAAAAAAAGACCTTTGGGTAATATGGGATTTCTTCATGTAATTGTGATGATGTACATGAAGTCTATAATGCTTGTGGGATTTGAAATATTAATTTGACAGCTTGGACACCCAGAAATCTTTTAAAGCATTAGGATATAACTAACATAAATTAAATTGCTTCCCTCCCCTATGCCCCGGAGATCTGGCAAAGAGGAATTCCACAACGCAGTGACCCCAAAACTGCCGCAGAGAGGGCCAAATCCAGATGCTCCATTGCAAAATCCCCTTCCCTCCTGATGAATGGGATATGCATTAAAGTCTAGATGGCAATGCAAGGGAGAGATGGGAAAGCTGTGCTAAGGAGCAGAATGAATAACCTGTCAGCTCTCCCAACAAGCTGTAATTAAGACATTAAGGGTCAACTTACTCCACTCATGGTGGCGAATTGTCCCTGTGTGCAGGGCGAGGCTGCTCCTGGGGCTGGATTTAGGGGATGGCTCCCTCGGGATGGCTCCCTCAGATGGTTCCCTCGGGATGGCTCCCTCGGGATGGCTCCCTTGGGGATGGTTCCTGCGGGGATGGCTCCCTCGGGATGGCTCCCTTGGGGATGGTTCCCTCAGGGATGGTTCCCTCAGGATGGCTCCCTCAGGATGGCTCCCTTGGGATGGCTTCCTCGGGATGGCTCCCTTGGGATGGCTTCATCGGGATGGCTCCCTCAGGGATGGTTCCCTCAGGATGGCTCCCTCAGGATGGCTCCCTCAGGGATGGCTCCCTCGGGATGGTTCCCTCGGGATGGCTCCCTTGGGGATGGCTCCCTTGGGATGGCTCCCTCGGGATGGTTCCCTCGGGATGGCTCCCTCGGGATGGTTCCCTCGGGATGGCTCTCTCAGGGATGGCTCCCTCGGGATGGCTCCCTCAGGATGGCTCTCTCGGGATGGCTCCCTTGGGATGGCTCCCTTGGGGATGGTTCCCTCAGGGATGGTTCCCTCGGGATGGCTCCCTCAGGATGGCTCCCTTGGGGATGGCTCCCTCGGGATGGCTCCCTTGGGATGGTTCCCTCGGGATGGCTCCCTTGGGGATGGCTCCCTCGGGATGGCTCCCTCAGGGATGGCTCTCTCAGGATGGTTCCCTCGGGATGGCTCTCTCAGGGATGGCTCCCTCGGGATGGCTTCCTTGGGATGGCTCCCTTGGGGATGGTTCCCTCAGGATGGCTCCCTCAGGATGGCTCTCTCGGGATGGTTCCCTTGGGATGGCTCCCTTGGGATGGCTTCCTTGGGGATGGCTCCCTCGGGATGGCTCTCTCAGGATGGCTCCCTTGGGGATGGCTCCCTCGGGATGGCTCCCTTGGGATGGTTCCCTCGGGACGGCTCCCTCGGGATGGCTCCCTTGGGATGGCTTCATCGGGATGGCTCCCTCGGGATGGCTCTCTCAGGGATGGCTCCCTTGGGGATGGCTCCCTCGGGATGGCTCCCTTGGGATGGCTCCCTCAGGGATGGCTCCCTCAGGATGGTTCCCTCGGGATGGCTCTCTCAGGGCTGACCCACGCTGGGGTCACAGAGAGAGTGCGCAAACAGGCAGGGGGGTTCACAGCCAGGTGTCCACGGCTCCTGTGACACCCGTGCTCAGCAAACATGGGCTGTGCTGCTGCCATGGGCGAGGCCCCAGCACCTGGAGCTGTTATGGGCAATGTCAGGGTTGGGGTCAGTTTACCCAGCAGGGCTGGGCAGACGCTGCTGCAGCCTCTGAACGGCGCTTTGGAATTACCTCCACGTGCTTTTGTCCCTTGCTGGGCTGTGC